CCTTCATGTATTGGAATGTACGGTTTTCTGCTACAATGCATTGCTGTGATCCTGGGCAAGGTCATGTCAAGTTCCTGTAGCAGTGAGTGGATTATTTCACCATCATTGATTACAACACTGGGTATACCACTGTGCAAGTGGAAACATGTACCAACTGCTATCAGCCGCACGGTCAATACCCATGACGACCACACTACTGTGTCTACTCTTCGGTTACAACGGTACCTGCACTCCATGGATAATGACACAGTCACCACACTACTGTACATGTACTTGGGTGTTATGTACAACACCCATTACATATCCTTGGTAGTAAATGGAAGGGCATACACAACTCCAACGGGTCTCACTCTACCAGCACAGCATCCCTACAACATTGTGATGGACTATGTCAGGAGATGGTGTCATGGCTCAAATCCAGCAGATCACACAACAGCACTGATTAACAACTGTAGCCAGAACAAGGTACCTGATGTGGAAGTGATGCAGTCTTGTATACTGACGGCTAGAAAACTGCTCAATTTGGAGGTAAGCTGGTAGTGCAGTGTTCACAATTCAGGTTACCATAACTGTTTTTCAGCCACACTCCACTCTGAATGGAACATTGTATTGCAAACCAGTGTACTCAGTATATGATCTACTGTATAGTGTCTGTCTCTCTAAGGTTGATTTCTTGAAGAACACAGAGGGGAATGTGATAATTTTGAACATTGTCAATTAGTGAAATGGAATGTGTTGCTTTCCGCTATATCAGTCTGATTTGTTTTTATTGTGCATGACGTTCTCTGTTTTGAGTGTACGGGCCTCAGTTACTTTCTTTTCTACACTGTTCTTTGTTGTGTGTATTGCTGTAGAATACGATCTTTGCACTGGGAGAAATGTCCAAACTATTCCCAGCGTTGAAGTCATTGGTTAATGATCTCAGTGGATGCCTGCCAAGCAATTGTGCAACTGGTCTCTCAGTGTCTGGAATTGTGTACTTACCACCACAAGCTGGAGACCATTCTCTACTATATGTCTCTCTCATTGCTGCCCTGCATCGTCAATCCAAGAGAGGCCAAGTGAGCATTGATCACCACATTGCACTACTGGAATGGTGTCCACGTGTAGCAGCATGTTTTGTCTGCTATGACCTGGACAACATCACAGCATGTCCTCGTTGTGGCATGGCCTACCTGTGTGGCAAACATCGTCAAACTGATGAACACCTAAGTGAACACAACCAACACTGTGCTATCCTGGCAGCACTCAAACATCCCATACTACAGTAAGTTAGAGTGTTATCATCAACTCATATGACAGATTGTGAGTGCTGTGTGATGAACTGGTTTGTTAGTGCCTGGTTATCGTGAGAAAATTACTGCTGAGTCTGCGTGTAAACGTTTCTGTGTGGGATGGGGGGGGGGGGGGGTGAAGGTGTGTGTGTGTGGGGGGGGGGGGGGGGGGGTGCCGGTGTGTGGTGTGGGGGGAAGGAGGGGATAGAGGTGCGGGTATGTGTATGTGTATGTGTGTGGTGTGTGTGGTGTGTGTGGTGTGTGTGGTGTGTGTGGTGTGTGTTGAGTATATGTGTGTGGTGTGTGTATGTGTGTGTTTGTGTTTGGGGGTCTGTACTTGTATGGTAGTTCTTCAGTAATACGAGTGAACCACCGAGTGTCCGTCGCAGGACCAGCAAGTGTGTGTGGGGGGGGGGGGAGGGTATGTGTGTGTTTGGGGGGGGGGGGGGGATGCTGATGTGTGTGTGGGTTGGGGGGGGGGGGGGGGAGGGGGAGTTGGAGAGGAGGGATGTAAAGCAAACGTTTTATCATCCGTGATATCACCACACCATATTTTCGCACTACCTCTTTGTATTACCCACACGTGATACACGGTAAAATCGGCTCAGTGAGACAGACTTAAGACTATGTGTGCGTTTATGTGTGTATTTGTGTGTATGTGTGTGAGTGTGTGTGTGTGTGTGTTTGTTGAGTGTACGTGTGTGTGTATGTGTGAGTGTGTGTGTGTGTGTGTGTGTGTGTGTGTGTGTGTGTGTTTGTTGAGTGTACGTGTGTGTGTATGTGTGAGTGTGTGTGTGTGTGTGTGTGTGTGTGTGTGTGTATGTGTGTATGTATGTATGTGTATGTGTATGTGTATGGGGGGTGTCTGTACTTGTATGGTAGTGATTCAGTATTACGAGTGAACTACCGATGAGTCCATGGTAGGACCAACAGTAGAGGGAGGGGGGGGGGGGGTACTCGCAAAAGACCTTTGATTTTCTGTAGGATCCCACACGGTATATTTCTACTGTCCCTCTGTATGACCCCTTCTAGGGCCAATGTGACATTGTAGCAATGGCCCGGGTTGATAGAACAGGCGGGAGTCCGCTTTCAGTGTGTGTATGTGCTTGGGAGCACGTGCACCCGTGTGTGCGTGTTTTGTGTGGCTGCATGTATGGGCACTTATGTTGGCAAATATCTTTTTGTCGAGCGAATGCACACTTGCTCACCTCACTGTCTATCTCTCTGGCCAGTTTGTGAGCTGGTCGTATTCACTCAACATACCCTGCTGCCACTCAAATTGGTCTTGCACCGTGTCAACCTGTGACTAGTGAAACAGACAAGTTCCAATAAAAATGTCGAAATTGGCAGAGTCGATTCTAAAGGCAAAGTTACTTATCCCGTCACAAACACTCATGCCTCTTCTCGTCTTCGTCTCGCTCAATGAGAAACACATGAACTGCATGATTGTGTATTCGAGGATTAGCGACCCAGAGTGTGTGTGGGGGGGGGGGAGGGGGGGGGGGGGTGCGTGCGTGCATGCGTGTGTGTGGACGAGGGGTGGGTAGGTGGGGGGGAGGGGGTATGTGGTGGTGGGGGGGGGGGGGGGGGTACGTGGGGGGGGGGGGGTACGTGGGGAAAACAAATGGTACAATGTGCCAGGAAATTCCCTAGCAGGGAATGTCGCTACTGTAGTATGTGTGCAACGTATCCTGCTAGACGGTCACCTGTTTTACAGCTTGATGTTATTCAGAATGTGTATAAACACTGCCTTTAGATACCAGTCATGATGTCATTATGAGTCATGATTATTTTAACAATGACCTCATTCTTAATTATATCACCAACGCATGAAATCCATAAGACAAATTATATGTCCAGAGTTTCAAGTAAATGGTTGATTCTGCCTGTGTGTGTGTTGTTTGGTATGTGTGCTGGTGTGGTGGCGTGTGTTTGCGTGTGTGTGTGTGGTGGTGTGTGTGGTGGTGTATGTGCACTCTCGCCGTTGTACATTCTACAGGGCTAGGTGAGCTTCTGAAGATCTCTACTGGATAGTATTTAGCAGTTGAGATTGGTGAAAGTGACCAGCACTGGACAGGGATCATTTCAAGCAGCTACTGCAGTAAGAGATACTCTAACAGTACACTACCTGTCATTGATCACAACACTGTGACATCACTTGTATAGACATGATGTATACAGATTGTCTATGACACACACAGTGTTGTGTTACTATGTAGATATAATGATCAACTGAACTACATGTACTGTCTAGTCCAGTCTACTGTGGTATCAGTTTTACTGAATGTGTTCATGTCTACTCTCACCTACTGTTTTTACACTAGTCACTGTACAGAATAGTTACCGGTATGTCAGTTAAACCTGGAAAACTCTACTCTACAAATGTTTATACTGCAATGTATATTGCCATAGCAGTGTCAGCCATACCCTGTACATACAAGTTCATGCTACTATCTTTGAGATACACATCATATTTTACTCCAGTATTGAAATCTAGCAGCACTGCTAACATTCATGTGACAAGCAAGAAATACCCGTTGTGTGCTATCATGCCAAGTCATAAAATCATCATGAATGTAGCCATGGCTCGACCCGAGCACACAGACTTCAGCCCTTCCACGTTTCCAATTGTGGCCGGCTTTTCAGTAGACCACAGGACCTATCCTGCCTGAACATGGCAATGTGTCCCAGGTTCAATGTGTTTGTGTGTACGTGCGTGCGCACGTGCACACGTGTTTGTGTGCGTGTGTTTGTGTATGTATGTGTGTGTGGGGGGGGGGCATGGATGTGCACGCACGTGTGTGTGTGTGTGTTTGTTATGTGTGTATATACATACTCAAGGGTACAGCATGCCAAACTAGAGTGTGCCCATTCATTACAAGCTCATGACCGGGATCCTACCTCTGCCAGTATTTTGCATTATGTTACTGTTATAGACTGCATTTACATGCCGTCGCTGCATGCTTCTCTCTCGCTGCTTCTTCGTACGACATTATCTCCATTCGCGCATGTCTACAGTATTCTCTCATCATGGCTGCTGGCCCTTACCTGGTTGCTCTGGGCATGCTCGGGCCATTCTCTTGTTTACCTTCGTAATGATAACTACCAACCATAATTACTCCTCGTGTTGCTTGTGACTGTCGTGTGCCACAAGCATGCAGTCACTAAGTGTAAGTTGCAACAGTTACCATCAGTAATATGCACTGCAGTCTGCAATGTTGTAATGATCAAATTTACCATGGTTTTAAGATCTACAATGTACTGTTGTGAACATTGAAATCAGATGGGATGCCGGGACCGGCACCCTTACTTCTGTTTGCACGTACACACACTATAGTTTATGTGCACACTGTAAAAATGGACCAGCAGTGCTCACGACTGCAAGGCCAGTGCCCAGTGGCGGCTTGACTCTTCAACGGATTTCAAAGTCCACGACAGCACATTGAATTGTAGATAAATGGAGGTGGCAAAAGTCACGGACCCTGATTCTGTGGAAATACCCCTAGAGATCACTGGCCGTGCTCATTGGCAGTCACAAGAGTATGGTAACGTGTGCTTGGGGGGTATCTGAGCCCTCTGGATTTGGATGAGCAGATACTAGTGTAGTTTGAATTTGCCACGAGCGCAGTGGCATACAGTGTTCAATGGGGGGGGGGGGGGGGTGGTGCCAACAGCAAGTTGCAGTGTCAGCATGCCGGTATCGTACAGGCACGCCTAGACTGCATGTGATTTCAGGCTTCATATTTCAACACTTTGTATGAAGTAAACGTAGTACTTCAAGTATAAAGTACCTTGAATAGTGACACAATTAAGTACCGGTAGTCGGGTACAGAAAACAGAGTGACTTGGGAGCAAGTAGTAGTGATGTCATAGCAGTATAGCTGGAAAGTAGTACTGATGAGTGATGACATAGCCAATGCCCTGCTTGTAACTTTATAATATTCATAATACCGGTACTGTCTCTCTCCATGCTTCCAGGATGGTGGAAAGGGCGGAAATTGAATTGGAAAACAAATTGTGAACGGCCCTAGCTGAGAAAGAGAACATAACTTCTTGGTGATGGCCGTCGGAAACAATGCACATTGGCTACGAGAGTTGTCACTGATAGGACTGGAAGATTGAACAATGCGATGTCGTTATTTAACCACCTATGATAGAACACAGATTGGGCCAAGCTAGGGCACTAGTGAATTTGCCACAAAAAAAACCATAGCTATGTGAATAAAAATAATAATATCAGCAGCATACTTGAAGTAGTGAGGGTAGGTAAGTGTAATTTGTCATGTGACCAGCATTGATGGTGGATATGCTAAAATACATATACATGTAGAGTAGTGATGATACTAGCATTGAAACTGGAGAATGGGACGGTCAAGGGTGGACTGTGAGGAGACTAGCAACAGCAGTGAGGATGCACACACGCACATGCACTGCAGACTTCACCTTTTTACTGGCATTTCTTCGGTTCGTCCGGAATCAGAACGTTGGCTGGGGTGGTGCCGAGTAGCATGGAGTGGCGCTCGTACGACTTTGATTTACGGAAGCGACTGTCCGTGCCATACAGAAAATCAAAGATTCCTGCATAGCAGCAGCCAACATAAACAAAAAATAATGTCAGTTTTTATTATTACACAGTAGGTATCGGTTATAGCGTGGGTGTTTGAAAAACGACTTTCTATTTTTATTTCCGATATTTATTACTCACGATATTGAAAATCAAGTGTGACATATCATGTGCATGTGCGCAGAGTCAGGAAGATCATCCTACATGCAATGTAGTGCTACTGTGCATGCGGCCGGTCATAGTTCGATAGCCTTACCATTGTGGCTATGCAACATGAGTTACATGACCACAACAGTTGAATTTGCAGCACTACGTAGTCTACGACCCAACGCGAGTCAGATCAGAACTGCATTGGACAGATGTTATTACTACAGGCGATATACTTTGTACTAATCTGCTATGTTTTGCTACACAAAGTCCATTTTTAGGACCGATATATTCGGCTGTCCGATAAAATTGCTTGTAAGAATAAATGTGCACTTGAAACCCATGTTATGATTATGAAAACATGAGAGTTCATTCTTGTAGGCAGTATATTCTTTTACACGACCACGCTATAACCCATACGCACTGTACGAGTTACACAAACTCACCGGCAGGCACATGGGGCTAGCATGGAGTCAGCAGTACATGGGGCTAGCATGGAGTCAGCAGTACATGGGGCTAGCATGGAGTCAGCAGTACATGGGGCTAGCATGGAGTCAGCAGTACATGGGGCTAGCATGGAGTCAGCAGTACATGGGCCTAGCATGGAGTCAGCAGTACATGGGACTAGCATGGAGTCAGCAGTACATGGGGCTAGCATGGAGTCAGCAGTACATGGGGCTAGCATGGAGTCAGCAGTACATGGGGCTAGCATGGAGTCAGCAGTACATGGGGCTAGCATGGAGTCAGCAGTACATGGGGCTAGCATGGAGTCAGCAGTACATGGGGCTAGCATGGAGTCAGCAGTACATGGGGCTAGCATGGAGTCAGCAGTACATGGGGCTAGCATGGAGTCAGCAGTACATGGGGCTAGTATGGAGTCAGCAGTACATGGGGCTAGCATGGAGTCAGCAGTACATGGGGCTAGCATGGAGTCAGCAGTACATGGGGCTAGCATGGAGTCAGCAGTACATGGGGCTAGCATGGAGTCAGCAGTACATGGGGCTAGCATGGAGTCAGCAGTACATGGGGCTAGCATGGAGTCAGCAGTACATGGGACTAGCATGGAGTCAGCAGTACATGGGGCTAGCATGGAGTCAGCAGTACATGGGGCTAGCATGGAGTCAGCAGTACATGGGCCTAGCATGGAGTCAGCAGTACATGGGGCTAGCATGGAGTCAGCAGTACATGGGGCTAGCATGGAATCAGCAGTACATGGGGCTAGCATGGAGTCAGCAGTGAGACGGTGCTGGTAGGGCCTGCCATGCTCAACTGATCAGAGGTCTCGGCGTCATCGAATGGCAGACTCACCAAACTGAGGGCATTGTAGTGCATTGGATCAGAATCAGACAATACATATAGGAACATTCATGGTCAGAAGAGACAACAACCATGACACTGGTATGCAAGTGAACTGCTGGAAACAGGGAGTATTTCTTTTTCTGTTGTTGGGGGCAGGGACTGGGGGAGTAATACAGTCGTCACCAAAGAAATCCAGCCAATGCCATTAATACCTGTACAGAGGCATGGTGCCTGTCACAATCGCATTCATGCATTTACAGTCATTAGAGGGTCTACCAGCATGGCACTGAACTAAAACAGTCCTCGGCTCTGCACTCTGCCTGCTCCAGTCGAGTCGAGCACAACACAGACTGTGCACTGCAGAGTGCAGTCCCGGCGGCAGAGCATGTGCCGTGCACAAGGCAGTACTACTACTACTACTACTACTACCAGAGAGTCTACTACTACTAGTGTATTCCTACTACTGCAGGCGCATAGCACCGCCGTTGGCAGTGGTCCGGCCAGGGGGG